TTCCTGTAAAGCCGAGTACCTGAAAAGAAGCTCCAGCACTGCTATTGCCATGGCCACTGCTGGGATTCCGAAACCCCACCCCAGCCACATTATCTTGTATCCATACCAGCAAAGAACCTGCAATAGAGCACCAATGTTGATAGAGAAATAGAACCAATTGAAGAAAGAACTCTTGCTCTTCTTCAGAATCGTCAGCATCATCAAATTGATCAGCCCCATATGATGAGACACAAGGCTTAATCCCTCCAGTGCCTAGAGCAATCAGGTAAAGTGCTGTGAAGCCCACTGCGCTTTGTGGATCTGTTGCATGACACTTCTCTTTTGTATAACAAGTTGGCTTAAGGCCAGAAACAGATGCTGAGAGTGTCAAAAGAGTCATTCCCTGTGTGAAAATGAAACATTGTAGTATTTAGACATAGAACACAGTGGAAAAGCATATTCTGAGATCCCTATTAAATTATGAAACACAGTTATAGCTTCACCCAGTTAAATAACTTAAATATGAGCGTAAACTAAAAATATTTGAGTTCAATGTGAGTGAAACTTACAATTACATAAATACTTGAGAAAAAGCAATCGTCCAATATCTTCCAGATAAGCATCAGCTAGAAATGCTCCAATTAGCGGGGTAATATAGCATGTTCCACCCCAATTTGAGACATTATTGGCAGCAGTTGGTTATGCTGATTTAAACGATGCTTGAAATAAAGTACAAGGTTGGTGCTCATTCCATAGTATGCCAATCTTTCACAGCACTCAGTTCCTGTTGATTAAAGTTAAGACTTATGAACATCTTAATTTATGATCAGATCAGCAGTTCTGTTACAAGATGACTAAGTACAGATACCTAGAATGTAGGGCAGGCCTTCCAAGTTCCAGTGTCTTTGTTGGCCGGATTTCCTTTGTAGTCTATTGTCCCATCCTTCGTGTAAGTATGTCTTTCCATGGCTTTAAAATAGTTTATATATACTTGCTTACTTTCTATCTGGGGATCTACTCTGAAACTGCAAAACTTGAGGATGCACTATTAGTACCCTACAGAAGAACTGTTAGTCCGTTCACTTTATCCAAAAGAAGGAATGTCATAGAGAGTACTTGAACAGAAGCCTCCTAATGCAGTTTTACTTGCTGCTAACAATTTTCTGTTATGGATGGACTGGAAGAAATTGATAAGCAGGTGTTATTTGCTCTAATTGAAGCAAACAGTTGGCATAGTTTGCTTAACCGAAGGCAAAAATAAATTCAGAATTTTAGAAGAAGACTTTTTTCCTGCTACTGGGACTATAAGTCCGACATCAGGAATCAGAACCAAGAAATGCAATCTAATGTGAAAGCTGTAGGATATCAATGCCAGTCAAGAAGATGTATATGATGATGAAATAAATAGAATTTGAAGGAATTTAAAGTTCCAGAAATAATACTTCCAAAGAGACCACCCACTCAAACACACAATAACTAATTGCGAAAGACCGGAAATCATCTAACCTGATCCTTCACAAGTTTTGTGATGCATCCAGAAGCTGTTTGTCTCAGAAGTAAAGTCTGAAAAGGAAAGGAGCAGATCTTGCTCAAGTACTAATAGCACACCCTACCGACACCACAATTCAGATATCAATCAACGCACAGATTCACAGCCACAAAAATGGACCCAACAGTAATCTTCAAGTGGAAGTAACAAGAACCAGGAAATCAGTTGCTTTAAAATAGTTATATATACTTGCTTACTTTCTATCTGGGGATCTACTCTGAAACTGCAAAACTTGAGGATGCACTATTAGTACCCTACAGAAAGAACTGTTCGTCCGTTCACTTTATCCAAAAAGATGAGAATGTCATAGATATAGAAGTACTTGAACAGAAACCCATTAATGCAGTTTTTACTTATTTCTAGCAATTTTCTGTTACGGATAGACTGGAAAAAAAATTGATAAGCATGGATTATTGCTCTAGTTGAAGCAAACAAAAGGAAAAAAAAAATGTTCAGAATTCTGAATAAGACTTTTTTCCTGCTACTGGGACTGTATGTCTGGACATCAAGAATCAGAACCAAGAAATCAATCTAATGTGAAAGCTATAGCATGTCAATACCAGTCAAGAGAGGATATGATGTGAACTAAATAGAATTTGAAGGAATTAACATATTCCACAACCTTGACATGGAAAAGCATTTAATACAAAAATTAAAGTTCCAGAAATAATACTTCCAAAGAGACCACCCACTCACACACAAAGAACTAATTGTGAAGACCGAAATCATCTAACCGGATCCTTCACAGGTTTATGCGATGCATCCAGGAAGCTGTTTGTCTAGAAGTAAAGTCTGTAAAGGAAAGGAGCAGATCTTGCTCAAGTACTAATAGCCACACATACCGCCACCACAATTCAGTAATCAATCAACGCATAGATTCACAGCCACAAAAATTGGACCCAACAGTAATCTCAATGTGGAAAAAAGTAGCAAGAACTAGGAAAGTGTGCTTAAAGAGTTTGACTTATAATAGGGAAGAGAAAGGGATATGTGAATGGAATGCACCAGATAAGAACAATAATTCTTTGTCAATAGCTACAAGTCACAATCCAGGGCAAGCAAACAACTTCAAGTTAGAGCTACAAGTTCAAAAAAAAAAAAAAAAACTACTTTAGATCCATTCAAACAACTCTCTTACTAAAATTGAATGCGTGTTGAAGAAAACATAAACATCTAGAGAAAGTGCAGGCAACTTCAAATGCTTCTTCTAAATTCAAATACCTTGAAATAAAAGGACTTTACCCCATCTGTGAATGAACCAGCTAGGTGTAGATACTGAGAGCAATAATCTAAGAGTTTGGCTGCTTCAGTTTTATGCTTAGCTCAAACTAAGCTGCTTTATCCCCAATATATATATAAATATAGAGAGAGAGAGAGAGAGAGAGGAGAGAGAGAGAGAGATTGTGAATCAAATTTCATTACTTCGTCACAGTTATTATATGGAAAACTATGCTATCAATGTATAAATCGATTGTGCTTCTACGTGACGTTTGGACCATATCATACATGATGGACTGAGTTCGCATAAAGTAAGAGAGAGAAAATGTTTTCGCTGATTGTTTTGTTCATTAGACAAATCTGAATGATATCATCCCTTTAGAGCTTCTGTACTGAATATAGTTAGTAAATATGGTTACGGTAAAAAAAAATGGTACAAATTTTACGGAAATGATATGATAAATGTTAGAAAATATATTTATAAAAATTCAGTCTTAAAAAGAGAAAAAGAAAAAAAAGGGCACAAAAAAGAGAAAAAGAAAGAGGGGCGCCAAAAGAAAGAAGGGCGCCACAAAAACAGGAGGAGAGAGGAAGCGGGCGCAGAAAAGAGAAGGAGAGACGCCGAAAAGAGATCTTGACGTTGCTTTGGGTAAAAAGAGGTCGAGTATAAAAAGATGTTTTTTCGATCAAATTACATTTAAATAATATCGTTTTGACTTAGTAAATAATAAAAATTTTTTTAAAAATACGGTTAAATTATAATGAATTATATGTGTAATATAGGCTAAGATATATATTGTATATAATTTAACTGTGTTATAGAATACAAAAATTTATATTTTATTATGAATTATATAGTTGAGTGTATAATTGGCATATAAAACGTAAATTTACTAACTACAATTAATCCCAGTTTCAATATAAAACGGTTTTGTCACATCCTCTACTGTTAATTACTTGTGGATTGCGCAAACTAAGTACGTTTGACGCGTTTTGAAATTTAACCTTGTGTCTTTGTTCTGCTTATTGTTTTCCCGTAGTTATATCAACCCATAACTTTCTTGGAGCAAAAAGTCATGGACAAAATAAAAAACAAGCAGCATTTATTAACTCTTACATACCGACAAAATTCATTAACTCTTACGTACCGACAAATTCAGATGTCAGGTAACTTTTTAAATTATGGATTATTGATTGACATTAACTATTGACATGTGTTTTTTGATATACGAATCCTACCTTTATTGTTTTTGTATATACGAGATATTACCATCGGATCACGTAAAGTGAGCTGAGACAGAGTTAGAATGGGAATACTACTTTTGTATTCTCAAAAAGTTAAACAGTAAAATACCTAAAAACTCACAATATATTAACTTTATTCAATATTTTTTAAACCCCCTAAATTTGTTAATTCAATTAAATACCCCTAAATATTTAATGTTTTGTTACGGTGACTCTAGCCACCCTCGGCGGTGGTGGCCGGCTGTCCGTATTTGAGGGTAGATTGAAGGTGTTTTTGTTAACTTTAATGTTTTATTATAAGGGGTGTTTTGTAAAAAAACAAATAGGGATTTTATAATTTGTAAATCCTACATCGTAAACCCGCCTAATTCAACTTTTTTTTTAATTTTTTCAAAAAACTTTTCCCAAAAACACAAAATGTGAACAAACAGCCATAGTTTTTGCTATCAGAATTAAAAAATGAGAGTAAGAATCCTTTATTATATAGAAAAGTTTAAGATAATGATTATAAGTCCTAAAAATGAGAGTAAGAATCTTTATTTATAATAGAAAAGTTTAAGGTAATGATTATAAGTCTACAAGTAGATAAGTACCGTATAATTTATCTTATTTTTATGGCTGATTACATAGGAGATATCCTTAAATCACGTAGGGCTTAGATAAGTGTGTGGCTTTATTCACTCATAGACAAAACTTGAATCTATCAAGTTGATGACAACAATATTTTTTCTGTCTTGGATGACGTGATAGCTCCTAGATGACATAAAGCTTTCTAAACTCTGATTGATACTTCTGACATAAACCCACTTCAACCCTGATTTTTTTGCCACCACAAATGTACTTTTTAATGTATATTACTATATTGCTCTACCTGTTGTAGATATTAATTCAAGTATTTGTTCTTAATAGAGTCATAAGTATCAAGAACTGTTATCATAATATACAATGGTAATGATTTGCTTTAATTTTGAACATATACTTTATTACTGTTACATCATTTAAAGACTCCAAATTTAAAGAGATTGATTTCTTTGCAGCAGACTCTTTAAACAGACTTAAGTTATTTACAATCAGTTTTTCACTATGGAGTGGAACCGGATATACTATCAACGAAGAGTACCCACTGGCTTTTTATATGTATACCACTTTGACACAAATATAAAAACTCCCAGGTTTAACACACTCAGCACTGCCAAGAGCAAGAAGAAGTAATCAATGTGACCATGATTTAAGTTATCCGGTATCCATCCATACTTCCCACTGGTTGCTGTTATAGCAGTAACAATGGTTACAAGCAATGAGCTCAAGTAGTTCCCAAGCGCGACTGTGGTGAGTGAGAGAGCAGAGCATAAACTCCTCATAGCATCAGGAGCTTGTTCATAGAAAAATTCCAACTGCCCGATAAATGTGAAGACTTCTGCACACCCTATGAGGAAATATTGGGGAACTTGCCAGAAAATTGACAATGGCATTTCATCAAGTTCATAGTAGTTATGTCTTCTCACCATCCGAAGTCTTATGAACTCTAGAACTGCGGCTGACACCATCGCAAATATGGATATAAAGAGGCCAGTGCCCATTCTTTGCAGTTGAGTTAGGCCATTCTTGTGACCTGTGAATTTTCTTGCGACAGGCACAATGATTAGGTCATAGATTGGAACCCAAAAGATGACACTAAGAGTGTCAAAGATGGAAAGTGATGCAGGTGGGATCTCGAAGCTAGAATTCCCAATGTGTGTATTCATTTTATCACCTTGCAAAGTAAATAAATTGTTCATCTGACTGTAAACAGTAGCAAAGATAATACCAGTGGCCCATACAGGAAGCAATCTTATGATAGCTTTTAGCTCCTCAACTTGGGTCACTGTGCAGAGTCTCCATGGGCTTACTGAACCCTTAATGTGGTCTGATTGTGTCTCCACTGCTGCCTTGTCAAAGAAACTGAAATTCAAAACATGCAAAAAATGTTACTTTTGTTTGCTTCTTTTACGCAGGACTAGATTACTACTTGGTACATCTGAAAAAGCAAATGACACCAACAGGAAACCAGCATCTGCTTCTAGTCTATTCAAGTGTTTGATATATGTAATCAGTCCAGAAACAAACCTAAAATCATTGGTGTGATCGAGCTTGCGGCTTCCAGTGATACTGGACTCTGCATCAGTAGTCTCATATAAAAGAGACTTATCAGCTGGTACTTCAACTTGATATTTCTTTATGGATGCCACCACCACCTGACAGAGACGAGTGAGAGGGCTGCCTCCAGGTTTTTGGTTCCTGTACAATCGACTACCTGAAAAGAAAGTTATAACAGCAATTGCCATGGCTACTGCTGGAATTCCGAAACCCAATCCCCAACCCACATTATCTTGTATCCAGACAAGCAAGGAAGCAGCAACAAGAGCACCAATATTGATCGAAAAATAAAACCAGTTGAAGAAAGAGCCCTTGTGCTTCTTCTCAACCTCATCAGCATCATCAAACTGATCTGCTCCATATGATGAGACACAAGGCTTAATCCCACCAGTGCCGAGTGCTATCATGTAGAGTGCCACATAGCATGCTGCCTTTTGTGCTTCTGTTGCATGGCAATTACCGTATGTATCACATGTTGGCTTTAGCCCAGGTACTGATGCTGTCAATGTTAGGAATGTCATCCCCTGTGAAATCAAAACTTCCATTGTTTACTAATAACATAGATTAAAAAAAAGCTTGCTACTAAAGCTCAGGTTCAAACATTAGGAGAACTTATTTACTAAAAATAATTCTAAGACCCGATTAATTTGATTAAATATGCATCCAACAATATGAAACGATAGAGGCAAAACATGTTCGTTTCTAATCATATTTCTTGGAGTCATTTTAATTAGTTGAAACTAAATTCATTCAACTTAATGTCGAACAACCAGAAGAGTTTTAAGTATCTAAGCAGCAAGATGCTAGTGTCAGTTGAGTCAAACTTACAAAAACATAAATGATTGAGAAAATGGCAATTGTCCAAAATCGGCCGAGATATGCATCAGCTAGAAATGCCCCAATCAATGGTGTGATGTAGCATGTTCCACCCCAGTCCGAATTGGTTTTAGTAGCATTAGCACTGCTCAGTTTTAGACAATGCTTGAAGTACAGCACCAGATTAGTACCCATCCCATAGTAAGCCAATCTTTCAGCACACTCATTTCCTGTCAATCAAAAGCTAAAACTTGTTAGCATATTCTTTCCTCAACCAGATTCAGTATCATAAATATAAATAACGAGTACCTAAAATGAAGGGGCAGGCCTTCCAGGTTCCAGTTTCCTTCTTATTAGCTGGATTTCCCCTGAAATCTACGGTCCCATCCTTCGTAAAATTGTCATCTTCCACCTCCAATTTGCTTAAAGTTCCATCTTTTGGGTTAGAATCATCTTCCCCCATGGCTTCTCAGTGACTTGTGTGTTGGCTTGTTTATGTTTCTATTGAAAATTAGACTTCAACCCAATTATTTCCAGGTTCAAACAACTTAAATCAGCGATTAAGAACAACCATCTACTTCAAAATAAAGCTTAAGACAAATAATAACTTTTCCTCCTACAGTGGCTTGTGATGTGAGCCTGGGAGCTGCATAATTTGCTAGTGAAACACTATAGAGAGTCAATTGGATTAGCCAACACTCAATACTAGAGAGCGACAGGCTAGTAGCCACTGAACTGGACCCAACAATTGTTTAATCTTTTATGGTCTGATCTGTTAACAGGAAAATTATATAAAAATACAAATGAACGTGGGGTTGCTTGGCTAAAGTGTTGACTGGTTTACCACATAGAACATGGAAAAATGTGTAATAATGGAAAGAGAGTTTGTTTTGTCATCCGGTGCAAGTTATAGATACAGCGCGCAGAGTTGAAGATTTGCAAACCAAGTGTAAAGTCAGTGCTCAGGTCAACCTTTTCGCTTTCCATAAAGAAGAAATAATTGTCCTATAAAAATTTGAAAGTCTGGTTTGTGGGCTGCTAATTTCAGTATCTCCCATTTTTATGTTTTACAAGTCTTACCATTATTTCTATGTACAATAATCATATTTAATTTTCAGATCAGCAACTTCACCGTTGAATTTGAATAAGAAGATATTACTACACATGGTTTAAGATAGTTTGTCTCTTTTGTTAATTATTTGCACTGGCAAAGAGTATATTCTATCAATCACCATCGGCCAGTAGCAGATCTAGAAATTTTTGTTAAGGTGGGTCAAAATAAAAACTAATTACACATTAATATTTTTATCTATTAATATTTTTATTAGAGTGGACCAAAATCCAAAAATTATATATGTTAGTATTTTTTTTTTTTAAATTGAGGGTTGGATCCGCCCCTTCCACCAGGTGATCTATAATAAAAGAGCAAAAGGAGGTTCTATAAGCTCCTGAATTCGAATCTCCCTAGACACTAATAAGGGTGATCACTAGGGTTTTTACCCGGCCGACAGATCTACAGTCCTAGAGATTAGTTGTGAGATGTGTACAAATTAGTCCGGACACCCTGGTAATTAAAAAAGGAGTCTATATTCAATCACACTTTTTCTTATACAACTGTAAAATTTATTGTTTCAAAACTGTTGAGACAGAGCAGAATCTAAGAAAACACATATGAAAGATCATACTGATACTGCCTAGGCAAAGTTTAGCAGATTCACAGAAAGCAAGCAAGAAGAAAGCTGCTAAAATTTGGTTTTTAATAACACAAAAGAATATCACGAGTCAGATTAATGGAGCGAGACAGAGTTAGAATTGGGAATACTACTTTTTATTCTCAAAAAAGTTAAACAGTAAAATACCTAAAAACTCACAATTATTCAACTTTATTCATATTTTTTAAACCCCTAAATTTGTTAATTCAATTAAATACCCCTAAATATTTTTAATGTTTTTGTTCCGGTGACTCTAGCCACCCTCCGGCGTGGTGGCCGGCTGTCCGTATTTAGGGTAGATGAAGGTGTTTTTGTTACTTTTAATGTTTTATTATAGGGTGTTTTGTAAAAAACAAAATATGGGGTATTTTATAATTTGTAAATCCTACATCTAATACCCCCTAATTCAACTTTTTTTTAACTTTTTTCAAAAAACTTTTCCCAAAACACAAAATTGTGAACCAACAGAGCCATAGTTTTTGCTATCAGAATTAAAAAAATGAGAGTAGAATCCTTTATTTATAATAGAAAAGTTTAAGATAATGATTATAAGTCCTAAAAATGAGAGTAAGAATCTTTTATTTATAAGAAAAGTTTAAGTAATTTTATAAGTCTACAAGTAGATAAGTACCGTATAATTTTTATCTTATTTCTTATTGGCTGATTACATAGGAGATATCCTTAAATCACGTAGGGCTTAGATAAGTGTGTGGTCTTTATTCACTCATAACAAAACTTGAATCTATCAAGTTGATGACAACAATATTTTTTCTGTCTTTGGATGACGTGATAGCTCCTAGATGACATAAAGTCTTTCTAAACTCTGATTGTACTTCTGACATAAACCCACTTCAACCCTGATTTTTTGCCCACAACAAATTTACTTTTTAATGTATATTACTATACTGCTCTACCTGTTGTAGATATTTAATTCAAGGTATTTGTTCTTATAGAGTCATAAGTTCAAGCTGTTATCATCAATATACAATGGGATAATGGATTTGCTTTAATTTTGAACATATACTTTATTACTGTTACATCATTTAGACTCCAAATTTAAAGAGATTGATTTCTTTGCAGCAGACTCTTTAAACATACTTGAAGTTATTTACAATCAGTTTTTAACCATGGAGTGGAAGCTGATTACTATCAACGAAGAGTACCACTGGCTTTTTATATGTATACCACTTTGACACAATATAAAACTCCCAGGTTTAACACACTCAGCACTGCCAAGAGCAAGAAGAGTAATCAATGTGACCATGATTTAAGTTATCCGGTATCCATCCATACTTCCCATGGTTGCTGTTATAGCAGTAACAATGGTTACAAGCAATGAGCTCAAGTAGTTCCCAAGAGCGACTGTGGTGATTGAGAGACAGAGCATAAACTCCTCATAGCATCAGGAGCTTGTTCAATAAAATTCCAACTGGCCGATAATGTGAAGACTTCTGCACAGCCTATGAGAAATAGGGGGAACTTGCCAGAAAATTGACAATGGCATTTCATCAAGTTCATAGTAGTTATGTCTTCTCACCATCCGAAGTCTTATGAACTCTGACCTGCGGCTGACACCATCGCAATATGGATATAAGAGGCCAGTACCATTCTTTGCAGTTGAGTTAGGCCATTCTTGTGACCTGTGAATTTTCTTGCGACAGGCACAATGATTAGTTCATAGATTGGAACCCAAAAGATGACACTAAGAGTGTCAAGATGGAAATTGATGCAGGTGGGATCTCGAAGCTAGAATTCCCAATTGTTGTTTCATTTTATCACCTTGCAAAGTAATAAATTGTTCATCTGACTGTAACAGTAGCAAAGATAATCCCATGCCCATACAGGAAGCAATCTTATGATAGCTTTTACTCCTCAACTTGGGTCCTGTGCAGGTCTCCATGGGCTTACTGAACCCTTAATGTGGTCTGATTGTGTCTCCACTGCTGCCTTGTCAAAGAACTGAAATTCAAAACATGCAAAAAATATTACTTTTGTTTGCTTCTTTTACGCAGGACTAGATTACTACTTGGTACATCTAAAGCAAATGACACCAACAGGAAACCAGCATCTGCTTCTATGTCTATTCAAGTGTTTGATATATGTAATCGTCCAGAAACAAACCTAAAATCATTGGTGTGATCGAGCTTGCGGCTTCCAGTGATATTAGACTCTGCATCAGTAGTCCGTATAAAAGAGACTTATCAGCTGGTACTTCAACTTGATATTTCCTTATGGATGCCACCACCACCTACAGAGACGAGTGAGAGAATTCAAATACCTTGAAATAAAAGGACTTTTACCCCATCTGTGAATTGAACCAGCTAGTGTTAGATACTGAGAGCAATAATCTAAGAGTTTGGCTGCTTCAGTTTTATGCTTAGCTCAAACTAAGCTGCTTTATCCCCAATATATATATATATATATAGAGAGAGAGAGAGAGAGAGAGAGAGAGAGAGAGAGAGATTGTGAATCAAATTTCATTACTTCGTCACAGTTATTATATGGAAAACTATGCTATCAATGTATAAATCGATTGTGCTTCTACGTGACGTTTGGACCATATCATACATGATGGACTGAGTTCGCATAAAGTAAGGAGAGAAAATGTTTTCTGCTACATTGTTTTGTTCATTAGACAAATCTGAATGATATCATCCCTTTAGAGCTTCTGTACTGAATATAGTTAGTAAATATGGTTACGGTAAAAAAAAATGGTACAAATTTTACGGAAATGATATGATAAATGTTAGAAAATATATTTATAAAAATTCAGTCTTAAAAAGAGAAAAAAGAAAAAGGGCACAAAAAAAGAGAAAAAGAAAGAAGAGGGCGCCAAAAGAAAGAAAGGGCGCCACAAAAACAGGAGGAGAGAGGAAGCGGGCGCAGAAAAGAGAAGGAGAGACGCCGAAAAGAGATCTTGACGTTGCTTTGGGTAAAAAGAGGTCGAGTATAAAAAGATGTTTTTTCGATCAAATTACATTTAAAATAATATCGTTTTGACTTAGTAAATAATAAAATTTTATTTTTAAAAATACGGTTAAATTATATATGAATTATATGTGTAATATATGGCTAAGATATATAATTTGTATATAATTTAACTGTGTTTATAGAATACAAAAATTTATATTTTATATATGAATTATATAGTTGAGTGTATAATTGGCATATAAAACGTAAATTTACTAACTACAATTATATCCCAGTTTCAATATACAACGGTTTTGTCACATCTTATTCTACTGTTAATTACTTGTGGATTGCGCAAACTAAGTACGTTTGACCGATCTTTTGAAATTTAACCTTGTGTCTTTGTTCTGCTTATTGTTTTCCCGTAGTTATATCAACCCATAACTTTCTTGGAGCAAAAAGTCATGGACAAAATCAAACAAGGCAACAAGCAGCATTTATTAACTCTTACATACCGACAAAATTCATTAACTCTTACGTACCGACAAAATTCAGATGTCAGGTAACTTTTTAATATTATGGATTATTGATTTTGACATTAACTATTGACATGTGTTTTGTATATACGAATCCTACCTTTATTGTTTTTGTATATACGAGATATTACCATCGGATCACGTAAATGAGTTGAGAAGAGTTAGAATTGGAATACTACTTTTAGTATTCTCAAAGTTAAACAGTAAAATACCTAAAAACTCACAATATTTCAACTTTATTCAATATTTTAAACCCCCTAAATTTGTTAATTCAATTAAATACCCCTAAATATTTTTAATGTTTTTGTTACGGTGACTCTAGCCACCCTCCGGCGGTGGTGGCCGGCTGTCCGTATTTGAGGGTAGTTGAAGGTGTTTTTGTTAACTTTTAATGTTTTATTTAAGGGGTGTTTTGTAAAAAAACAAATTAGGGGGTATTTTATAATTTGTAAATCCT